ACGTGGACTCCACTCTGGGGAGATGGGCAGGCACAGGAGGGTTTGAGAAGGCAGCGACGACCGGATTGGCACGTGGACACGATCGCCTGGCTGCTGACTGAGGACAGACTGTAGGGCGGGGGCGGGGCTGGGAGAGCGCCTGGGCGGGCGCCATCCTGGTCTAAGCAGGAGGTGGCGGCAGCTCTGGCCCAGTGCCAGGGTGCGGGTGACATGTAAAAAAGGAAGAAACAGGGTACCTCGATGGGCCAGCCAGGTGAGTTTGCGGACAGACTCAGCGGGGAGGGGGTCCTGGCCACTGAAGGGTGTGGGGAAGCTGCATGCTGGGTCCTACACGTGTCGTCGACAGAGTGAACACGTAGGGACGCCCTTCGCTTCTGCCAGGAAGTACACATGCTCCCTTTCCTTGAGACGCACACTCAGCAGCTGGGCCTCCTTTCCACTGGCCACTCCAGGGTCCATGGACCATCTGAGATTCCCAAAGCCTGGACACGGATCCCCCCTCGTACTTGGGACAATTTTGAGGGGCATCCAAGTGGCGAGAAGTCAGACGGACTCACAGTGGGAGACGGTTCCCGCTTCAATTCTGGGCCAGGAAAAGCTCAGTCTGGGGCCAGTGTTATGGGAGGTTAACCCTCCTTATGGAGACCGAGAGAGGAAGGGGCAGGGGAAGAAGGGAGGGAGGGGGGAGGCCTAGGGTTCAGATCTCGGAAAGGACACGCTGGCTGGCGGAATCTCACACACCCCGCCTCCCCGCAACCCCCGCCCCAGCCAGCAGCCCAGCACAGGCTGAGGGCAGGGAGCCGCCTGCGTTCAAATGCCAGCCTTCCCTTCCCTGCTGTGTGACTCTGGGCAAGTTTCTTCCCTCTCTGTGCCTCGTCTTATCCATAAACAGAGACTACACTGAAGCACCTGGATTCCTGAGCAGAAAGAGGAGAGGCGGCGGCTGAGGCAGGAGGAGACCCCTGGGCATGTGTCCAGGTTTGGGACAAGCAGTGCTGTCCCCGCTGGAGCAGGGCCCTCATGGCAGCGGTGGCGCCAACAGCTACCACTTCTCGAGCAGCTTCGACGTACCAGGCACGGAGCCCAGCCTCAGGCCTGGCCCGGCCCCCCGAGCCTGTGGCAGGAGGGAACCCCCAGCAGAGGAGATAAGCCCACGTGGCGTCTCCCCTGCGCTGGGCTCTGCAGGAACTGGGCCGGTTCAGTGAGAGCAGAGGGAGTCAGGGAGGCCTCCCTGAGGAGGTGACGTCTGGTGAGAAGATGGAAAAGACCAGACGGCCGGAGAGGGGAGAGCTCAAGGCTGAAGGCTGCGTGGTCGGGGGCAGGCCACGGGGCGCCGGAGCCTCAGAGCGCTGGTCCTGCCCGCCACCCTCCCCCGCTCCCTCTGTCCGGGGCTGTCCTTTCCCGGGCTGGGCCCTCCCAGGCTGCCCACCCCAAGCCTAAGGGCTCGTGGCGCAGCGGGGAAAGTGGCCAGGAGGAGCGGCCAGCGGCTGTCTCACGATCATTGCAGCCCACGGTCCGCGGACGCACTAGTTAGTACAGACTTTCACTTGACCTGCCTGAGATCCAGCAACCACCTGCTCTGGGGGGAGGTGGGTGCACAGCTGGCGTGACTGGCCCAGCGGCCGCCCCAAAGGAGCGGCCAGGCCTCCGGGCGGGACTGAGCCGGGTGGAGGCCGGAGGACGCAGGGTGGAGCCAGGTGCCATCCGGCTGCTTCCGCCCACTCGGCGGGGCCGGTCCCTCTGGCGCCGGGCAGCCAGGTGCCGCGCCGGGGCGCAGGGCAAGGATGGGGAAGGAGGGTCACCGCTGGAGCCGGGAGGAAGGTCCACACGATTCTGCAGCGACCAAGAGCCTGAGACAGTGGGTGGCTCTGGAGGTCCTGGGTCTGCGTTAAGTGAGGGACGAGGCCACCAGGCTCCCTGAAGTGAGGGTGCACTGCCTGGCACACCCACCGGGATGTTCCCCGGCCTGCGGTGTCTGCGGAGCAGGTGTTCAGGTTCGCTCCCGGGGAAGGAGGGGCCTCCAGCGGCCGAGCGAGTGCTACGGCTTCCGCTCCAGGGCGCGTCGTGTCGCAGCGACAGCCCCGGCCGCTTGGTGCCGGTCACACTCACGGGACCTGATGGCTCGCCCAGCCGGGCAGGAACCTCGCACGTCATGTCCACCCGCCCGGCCAGCTCCCCGTGACCTGCAGGCCCGGCTCTCGGGGACCTTGCTGCCTGTCAGCCCCTCCCTGCCAGGTGCCGCTGTGGCATTGAGGAGGAGGGATCGCCCACCGGGCCCAGAGTGGGGTGGCCGCCCCAGGCTCGGTTGCCAGACGAGGCAAAAAAAAACCAGGGACCGTTCAGTTATATGTAACTTCACACACACAACTGACAATTTTTGGTATGAATAAGTCCCATGCAATATTTGGGACACACTTGCAGGAAACACGATCTGTGTTTGTCTGCAGCTCAGATCTAGCTGGGTGGCCTGTGTCTCACCTGGCAGGGTGGAGCCTCTCCTGGGGTGCCCCCTGGAAAGGGTTAAGAATCCAGGTTGCTGGGGGCCACGCCTCTCTTGAGACGCTGCAGCCCTGGGCAGTTGAGAGCCCCTGCAGCCCTGCCTGTCTCACCTGGAAAGAAATGCTACTACTGGAACTTCCCCCCAGGGCGGTTTCAAGGACTAAGATGTGATAACGTGCACTGTACAGTGCCTAGCCCGCACTGACCTCCCGTGGGGTCCCTGGGGCACCCCAGTGTCTAGAACAGGCTCTGCCCACGGCGGGAGCTCGGCACACGCTTACAAAAGAATGGAAAATGAGTAGCAGAAATGCCCACGAAACGTTGGTGGTATTCCTCCTCCCACTGCTCCTGGCTGTCTGTCCCTCCCTCCACACCTGCTGGTTTGTTCATAAATAAATGCGGCCTGCACTCCACCTGTTCAGGGAAGCAGGGGCGCGGCACCCAGAGCCGCCCTGCGTCTTCGGAACCGGCAGCTTCTCTGAGCTTTCTGAGGTGGGGCCTCTCCCTGCTCTGCAGACTTCCAGAAGGGTCCTCTGGGTGCTGCCCCTTTGTCCTCTAGACAGAGGCCCCAGAAATGCCTCTTTCCTTCTCCAAGGCCCAACATCACAGCCAGGCTCCCAGCAGAGCCGTGCAGCCGAGCTGCTCTTTATCTCTAACGGAGGTCCGGGTGCTCCGGGCCCGTGGGCTGGGTACCGCCTGCTCCCCGCCTCTCTGTTTCCTGAACTTGAAGTCCACACTCATCAAGCAATGAACAGAAGCTCCTTAGAGGTGGCGGAGGCCCGTTGAGGCTGTGCCGGGCAGCGCGCGGGGATCTGCCTGCGTGGGAGGAGGACAGGCCCCTCTGCTGCCGGGCTGGGGCCTGAGGCCGCTGGGATCTTGGACTTCTGGTCCCCAGAACTGTCAGAGGCTAATTTCCTTTGTTAGGACAGCCCTGGGACACGCGTACAACTCCCTTCCCGGGACAGAACAGGGACATCCCTGATGCTCCAGGCCCAGCCCCCACCCTCTGTGGACGGTGCGCGATGCTCTTTCTTTATAACCCATTCCGCTGCCTGAATTCGTTTATCTCGTGGGGACTAATCCCTCTTGCCTGTTTCTCCCTCTGCAGAGTGAGCCCCCCGCGAGCAGGGACACCACTCGCCCTGTGTGCTGCTGTCGGCCCCGACCCTCGGCAGCCTCTAGCGCAAAGTCAGCGCTCAGCGGGATCTGTGATCGCTCGGAACCAGTTAGACGTCTGGTGTGCAGCGTTCAGGAAAAGCGGGTCCTTAGTCCCAAAGAGAAGAAAATATGATTGATTCTATCAGCCTCCAAGGCTCAGAGCAAGGCCACCTCTTCTGAGAAGCCTCCCCTGATTTCTCCATAGTCAGCTCCATTCATCTCACAACACCACTTTGTGGACACAATCCACTGCCTACATACGTGATCCACTGCATATACACGTGATCTACCGCATATACACGCGATCCGCTGCAATACACACGATCCACCACAGGTACATGTGACCTACTGCATATGCACACACGACCCACTGCCTACACACGTGACCCGCTGCCTGCACACGCGATCCACTGCAGCACACGCACTTAGGTTCTGCTCCCCGCCCCTGGCCCTGGGGCAGCCACCGTCTAACCAGCTCCACATCCCCTATGCCTCACACAGCACTCTGTCCCCACATCTGCTAAGTGAGGAAGGAGCAGGCGGGGCACTTGCCTGTGTTCAGGGGTCACCGTGCCCAAGTTCAGCCTTGACCCTGGACCTCAGACAGGAATTGCCTTGGAGCAATGCTTCCAATGCTGACCATGGAGAAGGACGTGTGCATGCGTGTGCGAGAGCACGTGTGAGTGTCTGCATTCATGCACAGGCCCCGGTCATACCTCACTGCTCTCCCGAAAGGTGTGAAGACACCCTGAGTGAGGCTAGAGGCTGGAGAAACACTGTGGTACAGTCTTCTGGGGGCAATGGGGATGCCCTCCCTCCCGGGGCAGGTCAGGGACCCTGGGTGGGGAGAGACGGGGGATGGTTCGCCTCCCTGACGGCCCACCCCATGCGGCGTCACTCTCCCCTCCGAGGGACCACCTCCCTAGCTGAGGGCAGCAGGCTTCTAGAAGCTGGATGGAGCAGCTCCTCATTCCAAGGGCCAACTGCAGGGCCCTGTCCGGGCCGAGCAGGCGCCCATCACGGTCCCGGGGAGGGTCCTGGGGCCTTGCTGGATCCTCTGGGACGTAAGATGGAGGCCCCGGGTCCGCCCGAGGCCTGCTCTGAGCCCTGGGGTTCTGGCCCACCTGCCCCATCGCACAGCTCCACTGACACGGGTCCCAGAGACGTATTTACACTGTGCAGCTTCAGCCCCGCGGGGCACGGTCCCTGCCAAGCCTCGCCCAGGCGGGACCACGTGGCCCAGTGCCTGGAGACACCCTGCTGTGCCTAGTGGGAAAGGTCCCCCCGCCCCAGCAGCGGCGGCAGCACCAGCGCCCCCCGCCCCCCCACGGCGGCCTCCTCACCTCTCGGTCCAGGCCGGCCGCCACCGTCACAATGTCCCCTGTCTCGCTGTTGATGGTGAACATGTTCTGGGAGGGGCTCTGCGGGGTCTGGGTCACGATCCGGTAGCGCACCATCCCATTGGCCGTGGTGCCGTCGTCAGCGTCGCTGGCTGTGACGGTCATCACGTAGGTGCCTGGAACAGAGACGGCAGCGCACGTGGGACTCACCAACCACACCCACTGTGGGCCCGCGCCCGCACCCTGGCAGACGTCAGCCGGGACCATGTCTCCCCGGAGGCTGGACATGGTGTGAGTCCTTCCCCTCCCACGGGCTGGGGGCCTGCCAGGCCCTGGGAAGTGCCCCGTCCCTCCCAGCCCCACACACTCCTGCAGAACCACCGGCGGGTTTCTTGCCGAGCTCAAGTCTGCTCTGAAGTCATCAGCAGGCAGAGAGATGGAGGCCCTGGAGGAGGGGGAGCCGCCTGGGGACAGCGGAGCCAGCGATTCTGGCTCAGAGCCCAGCACTCTCCCTCCTGAGCCACACGGCCCAAGGCGCTGGCCGGCAGCGTTTGCCAAGGATCCAGATCCCACGTGGAGGACTGCACGGCCGCGACTCGGCACGCGGTAAAAAACAGGGCTGGGTGTACAGAAGGGGCACAACAGGCACTTGAGGAAGCTAAGTGAGAAGAGCCCCCTCGGGGGTGGGGGGAGCTGTGCACACGGGCACAGGGGCAGATGGAGTAGTAAATCCAGGGTGCGCGAGGACACGTGGTCACCTGCACCTCCGAGCCCGGGGCAGTGAGCCGCCCACGCCATTTCCCATCCACACGCCAGGGTTGAGGTCCGCAGGGGACGCTCCGGCAAGGTCCCCTGACTCCTGAGAGCGGCACGTGGGGCTCCTACTGGCATCCTCCTTTCCCCACAGCGGTAGGCCCTGGTTGGACAACACACCCCTCCCCTGGCCACAGTGATCGGGTCCACGGTGGGCATCTTACTCTGTCAGGGCCTGTGATCAAGGTGGAGGTGCTCGCAGGGTTACTGGGAAACCAGCGTACTGTCCCTGCTGCTGGCCTCGGCTGGGTCAGCGTGTGAGGTTGGGGCTGTGGTCACTTTGTGCCACAAGGAAGGAGAGTGAAGGACAGGGCCATCTCGGAGGAAACAAAACCAAGAGGGGCTCTGGTGAGCACCGCCTACCGGGCAGCCCCTGGGTCAAGCGGCACCTGAAGCTGTTGCCTCCATGCTTAAAACAATTAGGGCTTCTTTTATAAAGCGGTTTTAGGCTCACAGCACATCGAGGAGACGGTACCTTACAGACTCTGTACCTGAACCGATAGATTCCCCTTCTTGCCTCACGTCATTTCAGTTTGAGCTTTCGTCGCCTGCAACCCAGAGCTCTGACTGGCACGGGCGCCCGGCCCTGTGAGCGCCCCTGGAGCCAGGCATGGGGCCCTAGTCCTGAGCTGCGTGTCCTTCGCTCAGCTCTATGTTCCCAGGGCCCACGGGGGGAAGGAGTGTGGGCACCATCCTCTTGGGGGCGCTGGCTTAAGCTGAGACTGAACTGGGCTTGGGGCTTGGCTGTGCAGCCGGGCCTCCAGGCCTGCTGGGATCCAAGGTGGTGACGGGTGGGTGTTTTAGTCATCAAACATGCACTGGGCAACCTGCTCTGGACCGGCATGGTGCTAGGAACTGGGCAGACAGTGGTGGAGACCCTTGCGTGGTCCGGGCAGGGAGCCTTTTCCAAATCCTACCAGTGTTCTGGCTGCGCGGATGTGTGTGCAGAACAGGTCCTCCTGCCTTCCCGCGTCCAGCCCCACCGCAAGCAGCGAGGGCCTGACTGGGAACTGGCTTTAGCTTTCAGCTTTTACTGAATAAAAGCTTCTCAAAGCAAATGCATTCGATACAACAGAAAGGAGAGCAAACAGGGACAGGAAAGTGGAAATCTGTCTACAGGGCACAGGTTTTCTATTCTCATCCACCAATCAGAGAGGAATGGGCCCAGGACCAGACTTTTCACACTGAAGAGACGGGAAGTCCCAGCCTGGGTGGGGCGGGACGCTGCAGGACGCGAGGGCCCAGGAGCTCCAGGCCTGCAGCGCCTCCCTCCCCTGACTTGTTCAATCCACAGATTTACATAGTTTTTATCAAAATGTAATTCATGCATCAGAAAATTCACCCTTTTAAAGTGCACAAGTCAGTGCAATTGTCAATAGAGCGTATCTAACTCCAGAACATTCTGTCACCCCCAAAGAAACCTGTATCCGTTAAGAGTCGCTCCCAGGACTTCCCTGGTGGTCCAGTAGGTAAAATTCCACACTCCCAGTGCAGGGGGCCTGGGTTCGATCCCAGGTCGGGGAACTAGATCCTGCATGCCTGCCGCAACTAAGAGTCCGCATGCTGCAACTAAGAAGTCTGCATACCACATGCTGCAACGAGGGTCCTGCGTGCCGCAACTAAGACCCGGCACAGCATGCACGCATGAATGAATGAATGAATGAATGAGCTGCTCCCTCCTCCTCCCCAGCCCCCAGCAATGCTCATCTACCTTCTGTCTCCAGATTGGCGTTTTCTGAACACAGCTCATAAACGGGATCATATACTATGCGGCCTTTGTGTCTGGCGTCTTTCGAGGAGCCTAACGTTTTCAAGGTTCACTCCTTTTTATGGCTGAATGACATTCCAGTGTGCGGGGCTACTCAGCCCACAATTACTGAGTGAGCACTTGCTGTGTGCAGACACCAGGCTCTGTGCTCAGGACGTAGGAAGAGAACAAGCAGATGAGGTCCCACCCCGAACATGCCAGTGAGGACAGAGAACAAACAGGGAGACACAGATCATCGCCAGCTGCAATAAGTCCTTGGAAGGGGGAAGAACGCTAGCATGAATGAATATGTAGAATAATGAGGTACGTGGGGTGCTACGGAGGAAGCAGGGATGACCTGAGAGATGGGGGTGGTGGGGTAGGGAGGGGACGGGGGGTACTCTGGGCAGGAGGCCAAGGCCCTGGGGCAGAGAAGAGCTCCAAACGCTTGAGGAACCGGGGAAAGGGGGCATGTGATGGGGCTGGAGGTGGGCTGGGCCCACGGCGAGGATTCTGGACTTTATTCTAAGACCACAGGGCAGTATTTTCATCAGGAGAGCAGGTCAAATTTATGTTTTGAAGACACGCAGAGAACACAGACTGCATGCAGCCAGGAGTGCGGGGGGCGAGGGTTGGTAGTGAGAACGCTAACTCATTTACCGGATTTCATGGAGAACTGGTTGCAGGCAGACCAAGATGTTGCAAACCCACTAGGACATTTATTCATTCATTCAACACGTCTTTATTAAGTGTCTTCTAGGGGAAAAAATATGGAACTTCAGTGTTTTGAGAACCTCAGGAAAAACATTCATCAAACACACCCACCTAACTTCACGCAATGGCTATTCTCAAACAGTGTGCAAACCCAATTTATTTTATTTTATTTTATGTATTTTTGGCTGCATTGGGTCTTCGTTGCTGTGTGTGGGCTTTCTCTAGTTGCAGCGAGGGGGGCTACTCTTTGTTGCAGTGCATGGGCTTTTCATTGCAGTGGCTTCTCTTGTTATGGAACATGGGCTCTAGGCATGCGGGCTTCAGTAGTTGTGGCATGTGGTCTCAGTAGTTGTGGTTTGCTGGCTCTAGAGCACAGGCTCAGTAGTTGTGGCGCACAGGCTTAGTTGCTCCACGGCCATGTGGGATCTTCCCAGACCAGGGCTCGAACCCGTGTCCCCTGCATTGGCAGGCGGATTCTTAACCACTGTGCCACCAGGCAAGCCCTGTAAACCCAATTTTAATGAATTTAATTATCAGTAGCATTTCCCCAGAGGCATTAAGTATTTAAAAGAAATCCAGGAGGTTCTGTTTTTAGCAAATGGTGGACAATGTTATTTTAAACCGATCTTCCTCCTGAGGAAAACTAGAAAAACCGGACCCAACGTGAAATACAAACATCTCATTGAGGGCACTAGAGAGATACAGTGACACAGACTCAGGGAGGGTGGGGCAGGCCGGAAGGGAGAGCCCGAGACTGGGGGCCATCTTTCCTCTCAAGACATTTGCTGATTCCAGGGACTTCCTTGGCGGTACAGTGGTTAAGACTCCGTGCTCCCAATGGGGCCTGGGTTTGATCCCTGGCTGGGGAACTAAGATCCCACACGCCACAACTAAAGATCCTGCACGCGGCCACGAAGATCCCACGTGCCGCAACTACGACCTGGCACGGCCAAATAAATAAATAAATATTAAAAAAAGAGACATTTGCTGATTCCAAATCGGCTTCTGACAGCTGAAGAGCTTTCAACAGACTGATGGGAATGGGGGTAAAAACACTGCGCTTAGGGCCTGCCATATGAGGGTGGAGCCTGGAAAATGCTCGAGTCTTTGGGTTGGACCCGGAAGGGCAGCGCGCTGGGAGTGAGGGCGAACAGGAAAGGAACCGTCCTAGCCGACGGGGGCACAGCTCTATTAAGGTGACTTAGGCTCTGATATCTGAGGTTACCAGACTCCCGTCAGGAGCGAAAGCACATCCTTCGTAGACAAAGGTAACATCTTACCCTCAAGTCACCTCTACAACTTCATACACAAGGCACAGTACGTCACGAACCAGGCACACAAGAAGACAAAACCTGACTGAAAACAGAGACAAAGAACTGACCAGGACCAGAGCAGGGAGATTCCAATAACAGAGTCATCAGATACAGATTAAAAGCAATCAGCCAGAGAAGCTGAAGCACACCCCCAGATATTCACATGGGACGCCCCGTTCTAGGCCCCCACTACCAGCCCCCACCAAGGCACACCTGAGCCCCCTTCTCTACCATGAAGCTCCCCGGTCCTCTGCCCGCCTTCGAGTCTCTGCCTGTGATGGTGGCTGGTGACCCCCCTGCTCTGAACACACAGCCTCTGCTGGTTCCCACTGGCTGGTCTTCATTTATTTCCACGTTACTGTTGGAAAAACTGGGTGAGGGACTCGCTCTGTCCTTTGCTGCACAAGCACGTGTGGGTCAACAATGGTCTCAAATAAAAAAAAAAGTCCCACCTGCGAAGCTCACATCTAGCGGTGCACATAAACAAGGAGCGTGATCAATTAGTACGCGACACCGAACGTCTGACAACTGGGTGTTGGCTAAACAAATCGTGGTACATTCCCACGACGGAACTGTTTAAAGCCAGAAT